TAAACAAAGCATTAGTATACCTAATAAAAAGTTTAAAAGTATTCTAGAATCTTACATAAATGAAATATAAAAGGACAAGCAAAATAAGATAAAGATTAAGATAGCTCCTTCCGCTTTGTCGAGAATGGAGAAAATTAAAAGGGAAAAAAGAATGAGTTCATATACTTGAAGATTTAATACAACCCCAGAAAATAAAATATTTCAGCTTAAAAGCACTTTTTTAAGAACCTGATTTTTGTCGACGTCAACGATAATAAGAAAGTCCATTTCAGAACTACAAATCCAACAACGAAGCATTTTTATTTGCTGTTCACATTTCTCAAAGATTTTAGCATTACATGAGGAAATGACTTTAAATCCTAGAAGTTATAATATTAAAAGCACTTATGATTGTTTTTGAAATAAAAAAAATTTTTAATCTTTTAAGATGTGGTAAAAATAAAATCAGTTTAAACATCTCGGATTTCATAGAGAAATGGTGGTTAATTTTAATACCATCTTAGTAGTAATGTAAGTTTGGAAGGATATAACTTAAAAAGTGGGGATTTAGCTAAAAAAAAATTTTTTTAATGAAAGGGCTCATAAATAACTATGAAAAATAAATTCAAAATTCCATCTTTAAATAAATACTAATCTCTTAATGGTCCAACAGTAATTGAAACACAATATAGATACAAAATAATCCTTAGAAGCATTATTCCCAGAAATTAAATAATGCTCAAACAATTAAGCTATCCAAAGATTAGAAAATTTCCGAAATAACAAAATTCGGTATTATATGGTATTTCACTCAAACTTATAAACATGAATGTCTATTGCACAAAAAAGTTTTAGGGGAACACAATTGACAAAAATTGGTCAAAAAAATCAAATCTAATACTTTTTAGCCTAAATTATTCTTTATATACTTTTCTATATCCTCACAAAATTTGAAATCTCTAAACTTAAAAAAAATCAGAATCATGATAGTTTTTACGTTCGTTTTTATTGACATCCCCTTGACAAATCAAAACTTTAAACTTACTTGTCTCAGAAAGATAAAATAACTAGTCTTTCTTCAATTAAAATGCTTAAACTTTTCTATTGCACCTAAAATCTTTAGTTTTACCTATACTAATAGATATGTAGCAAAATTTGGTATCCATTTTTGTAATCAAAACAATACTTATATTTTTAAAATAATTGAACTCAGAATTTATACATTTCAAGAATTTCCAATAAGACATTCATGAAAATGAACCAATATCAATCATGTTATCACAATACATACCAACTTTTTTATATTTTGATACTTATGCAAAATGTTCATCACTATAGTACGTCAACCTTACTATAGGAAGGTGGCATTTAAAATACTCACGAACTCTTAAGTTTTCTGCAAAGCACTCTATACGACTCTTGAGATGCAAATTTTCCAGATTTTAAATGAAATTTCAACAATTTTTCACCATTGCTGACATTTGATAAAATTTGTTAATGACTGTAAAAACTTCCAGTTGTTGAAATAACCTTGTGAGAAAAGCAAAACCCTATCTCTTTCTATCTTTAATTTCATTTTCTCAAAACAATAATCGAAATTTCTCAGAAACTATTATGATATCAATATGAAATTTCATACGATGTTCAAAATAAGACTCTTCATAACTACTACCAGTTTTTAAATTTAAAATTTTATTATGATTTTAATCTATTTTCTTAAAATTTTAAAATTTTCTATATTAATATTTAAAAATTTTGTCCTTCTAAATTTCTTAAAAGTTAAACTCTTTACGAAAGTAGGTATCTTCTGTTGCAAAATCATTGAAATTTGTAGACTCAATTTGTAGCCTTAGAATCCTGCGCGGTGTAAAATACGATTTTCTGTTTGAAAAATCTCAAAATTTTATTTCTATAAACTTTTAGTCTTTTCCTCAATTCTCAAAATTTGAAATGATATAAATATATGGATTATCATTCATAAAATTTCAAATGATTGTTTATTTATTGCCTATATGGATGTGAAGAAGGATATTTTCGGACAGTAAAATATGTTAAAGGGTCAGATGACCTAAAATATTAAATGCTAGTTCTTTTGATAAATTTTGGGCACAAAATCGATTTACATAATTATCACATAGGAGACAGCAAAAGTTTGAAAATCACCTAAATTAAATTTTAAATCATATATCGTCCTAATTAAAAGAGTTTGTGAATGTTAGAGTTAAATGTCAAGCATAAACTAGTAAAATAATTCCTCAAATGTGCGCCTTCTTCCATCTTTCTGAGCTTTTGTTTAGTTATTGATAGAATATAATTGGTCTTTATAAGCAATTAAACAATCAACCAATTTTTGGAATTTCTCATAAGAATGTTAACACAGCAGAAATAGGCCACAATGTTAGATCAAAGTGTAGTCAGGAAGGAAGTCTTGAATATACGAAATCAGGTAAAATATCCATTTGAGTCATTTCTAATAATTCAATACTGAAACATGGTGGAGAATTATAGGTCAATATCTTAGTCCTATCTGTCCATATTCGATCATTTCTCCTTTATTCTCCATGTCAAACTCATCTCCATGATCATTAGTGATCCTTCGGAACAGATTCATTCGATTTTAGCAGTGCTACATGATACATTATGCCTTAAAAATAAGCAACAAAATGAAATAAATAAAGCAATATATTGATTATATCAATTTTTACAGCTTGTTAGACAGAAGAAGAACAATGCCAAAAATAACAGAAACAACAGTTGCTTGCGCGTTGTTAACAATAATGTCTAACTGATGAAAAATCGTTCTGCAAACATTTATCAGTAAGTCGTGGGACCATATCCACTGAAAATGAAGAATCGATAGGGACAATTCATACCTGTAAGCAGATTATCAATCGCTACTTATGCGATCTGTGCCCATTCTCGAAGAAGAAATGTTGTCAAATCATTAAGGCTCGGACTATCTCCAGCAGTTGTTCCCCATATTGGATCCCTACGATTGCACAAACTAGTGTTGTTTTAACTCAAATGCTGTCAACGACTCATTTTCAGAAACTTAAAATGAAGAAAAAGAAAGGAACACAAAACAAAACATCCAACTCTACGAAAGAAATAAAACGTTTGAAATGAACCTGCTTTTATTATACAGTGGAACATCGTTTATCCGAATCAATTGGGACCGGACACCTTTCGGATACGCGATTGTTAAGATCACCGAAAACCGAATGCGATGCATGCAGTACATGAAACCGGACACTATACGATTATTGAAAATCATCACATGCGAAAAACGTGCTTGAAGAAAAAGTATAACAGGTGCAAAATATTGCATTTTTACCTTGATTGTGGTATAACTTAATAATCACTTAATTTTCGCTGTACCATTGTACCTTCGTTTCTTTTCGCTGCAAGTTCTCTGATTCTCTGCAGCAGTAGTAGTTGAGTAGGGCAGCACTCTGATTGGTGTTCGTACCACTCCATAGCTGTCTATAACGCAGAAAATACGTCAGCATCTGATGGACCCATGCAACTTTCGTTGTTGTTGTTTCCCGTCATTTTTGGCCTCAAGCGAAATAACTATTGAGCACATTGCACTGTTCGAAAACGTATTCAGGCTTTGGTCGGGATATTTGACGCTCTGGATAATAAACGTTCGGATAAATGACGTTCTACTGTATATCGCATTTCATAGGCATTTTGGGTTATGCAAATACTTTACAGCGGAACTACTCTCATGTTCAACTGAAAAGTACATATCCATATATTGTTGCTGTAATCTTTTTATTCCACAAGTTATGTTTATTTTATTGTTTTTGTAGCTATTTTTTCGACATAGTGTACATCTAACTGTTCTCACCAAATACTGCGCACGAGCTTTGGTCCATGAATATTTAGCTGCATCCTTGATGTTGGTGTATTACTTGGATTACAACATGACTTCTTACCCTTTGGAATGTATTCATTCATAATGCTTCTACTTTTCATAATCAGTTCAAATTCTATGCAATCGTCCTATTTTTGTCTTTAGAGCCAGATTTCACAGATGGAGTACCTCCCTTTCACGTTTCTATTCCTTTCCAAGCAAATAGAAAAACCTCCTTTCAGGTTGTGTGCTACGTTCAAATCGAATGTCACCCAATTTCTTTGCATGTGGACCCTTCCCGTGGCTGAGAAGTGTAAAATGAAATGGCTTGTTGAATCGTTCCTAGATATTCTGGAAAATTATTCGTGCGCTTCTCATTACTCTTCGTTCAGTAATGTCTTTCAATTCTGCATCTTCAAACGTTTCTGGGTTTCCTTCACACTCCTTGACCTTCATGTTAAATCACCATTTTTGAATCGTCTAAACTAGGACTTGCACACAAGTCGTAACTGATAGAACATGGGGTACATGAAAGTAGAAAAATAAATTTCTCTTCAAATTAAGCTTCTATGGCACTAAGTTCGAAGTACAAACATGTATTTCGATGGCACATGTTTGGACTTCAAAAAAGCTATGTCGTTTACAGTTGAACAAAATAAGATCTACCAAACGCTCAGTCCTAATGATAAGGCTTTAACATGGATGCAACTAGTTTATGGTCCGATGAAAGTTATTAGGAGTAATATCTTCTCTTATAAATACTTTAAAAAGTACTTCTAATTCCAATAGTTAAAATACAAAACAACAGAAACCCCAGTTAACGGATTTATCATAAGAGATATTCAAAAAGAGACGTTTTTCAAGAGCATGTTCTTCAGAACAAGTAATATAAAAAAATGTTTTAAAGTCAACAAAGAAAGATTTTATTTTAGCTACTTTTTATTAAATAGTTACAATTAATATAAATATGTATATTCATATGACAAAATCACAGTATTAAGAGACAAAATAGAAAGAAAATTTTTTCAAGTAATTCTGCATTTGCCTTGCTATATATGTTGTTGGACTATTTTCTGTTTGTTTCTACTTATTTATTAATTAAATTTAATTATTTTAATAAAATAGTACAGTAAAAAAGAAATCACATTCTTAGAAATTAGATCATGCCATGTGGGATTCGAACCCACGACCTTTGGATTAGAAGTCCAACGTGGCTGTCCATTGCACTACAGGAACACAACGAAAGAGTTTCCTTTCTATATAGGCTGTTGGACTATTATTTTTGTTTGTTACTATTTATTAATTTTTTTAATTTAACTAATGAATTAATACTTGAAAATTTGAACAATATATATATATATATAAGGCGAGAGTGAACTAATAGTAGGAATTAAAACAAGATATCAATCATTGGCATGGTCAAGTAATTTTAGCGCGTTTTACACACATTGTATTTTACAATAGGAAAATTCGGGAAAACTATAAGAAAATTTAAATATGATTCGGCTCATCTAGGGCACAAATGCGGCCAAATGCCAAAAATTCGAGGTCAATTGGTTGCTTATTGGCTGAGAAAAAGGTACGACAAAATACGGAACGAAGACGAAATTTGCGTCCTAATAGCGCTTTTCTTCCACTACGTGAAAAACGTGCTAAAAAGAGCATGATTTGTCTGTATTGTTGTAACAATGCACATCCGGTTTGGCTAGTTTGGCTGAAAAATTGGTTTTCGATACCAACTTTGGTCATTGTTTTAACAGTTACATTGTTACAACAATGTAGGCAAATCTAAGTTGGCGCCGAAAACCAGTAATTAATTTAAATTAATTAACTAGCCGGTAATTAATGAATTAATATTTGAAGAAACTGTTTTATCATCGAGTGTCATCCATTACAAGTTTTAAAAAATTTGTTTGAATTGATTGGATGAATAGAAAGTATTTTATTAACGATTGAAAATTTAAATAAGATAAATATATATAGAGAGAGAGAGAGAAAGTGAGCTAATAGTGGGAATTGAAATATAACCTGCTAAATTCTAAATGATGATTCCGTAACGTAAATGGAATTTTAAACATTGTAAAAGGAAAACATTAATGTCAAAAACTATTATGAGGAAGAAAAATTTTACATTTTCTTCTTTCCTAATCACAATAAGAGTATCAGAAATGGACACTAAAGAGGTATGGTTTATCATTAACAAACATTTATGATGCGATCGTATGACATCAAATTCGAAGTACAAGCTGCAAGTTTTTTCCTTCACACTAATATTAAACGAAAACCATTTGGAAGGACGTTTTGGAAGCTGACGTGTCATCAATTTACTGGAATAATCCCAAATACAAAGAAAAAATTGTGAGACTTTCATTCATTTAGGCGACACAAATTCGTTTGTTAATAGTACATAAGCATCATCAGTTTCTTGAGATAATCAATCAGTTAAGGTGGGTATTCCGTCAACGACAATTGTAAGGTTGTTACACATTGTTAATAAGAAAAAAAGAGAGAGGAGTGAGTAAGATAGTTTTGTTAACGTCATACAATACAGCAACAAAAGGGCTATTGGCGACAGACCTCTGTCAAGCTACGAGGACGACACCTGAGCCAAAAGATCCCCTCTCCTAACTACCACACCAGTGAGAGGATATCAAGACTCAACAGATTTAACGTGTATCGGCCCACTCAAGACTGGTTCTTTTCAGTGACACCGAGACCATGAGTGCGTGACCATTACTGGAAAAAGGAATAGAAAAAAATTTTAAGAAATATAAAGGGTGCAACTGAATTTGCTGATATATTGGTGTTATGTTCGAATGCATTGCTGTAGGCTAATTTTGCTTACATTTCAATGATTTGCCCACCATTTGCTTGTTCTTATGTCATAAATATTTTACTTTTTATTTTGAAAATTTTATTTCTAATTTAATATCTATTATCCATCACTGTTTTGTTTCTGAAATTTTGAATAAAAAACAAGAATTAGAAATTTTTCTGCAAATGGTTCAATAAATAAAAGTATATACTTAAAAGAATCTAATGTCGAAGGTATTTTAAAATTATTTTGAAACATGTCTTATTCCGTGAGTTATAATTAGCAAGACTTCAATTTCTAAAATATATAACTGAATGAATTTTTTAAGTAATCAAGAAAAATTCAAAATTTCATTATTGTTCTTTAGTGGCGAAGAATGAAAATATTCAGTTATGCATTGTAAGGATAACTAAATAACTGGAAAAAACTTAAGAACCTTATTAATTTAAGAAAAACTGGGATCTAGGTGTAAAAGATTACGATAACTCAAAAGTTCTTGGAAAAAATAAAAACATTATAATAGTGCTCGAAGTAAATACGTTTTGGGTGGAGAGTGATTTCAAAACTGTATTGAAAATGTTCATCTTTCTGCTCATTCTTGCAAGTTTGATTGGCAAAAACTAAGCTATTCCAAAAACTTAATAAAATAATTTGAAAATTAAGCTGCAAATATATATATATACACTGGTGTCCAAAGTTAATCATAATTGATAATTATGTGAATAAAGAAGTAACTGTAAATCAGAATGGCCGGAAACGTGATATGCGAGTGTAAAATGGTTATAAAATAAGGAAGCAAATCAAAGGAATTATAATAATTAATTTTATTATCCAAAGTAGCAGTTTGAAAGAAAACTGAGCATAGCAAGGATTCACACTTTAAAGAAAAAAATGAAAGAAAACATTAAATAAAATACTGATGCTGCGGTTTAATAAGGCATGTGGTCACCTCTGACAGCCAGGCACGCTGCACACCGATTTACCATACTTGCTATGAGATGATGAATGAGTTGTGGGCTCAAACGGTTCCAAGCTTCTTGGAGAGCTATCTTCAGTTCTGTAACGGAGCTTGGTGGGTTCGAAAGGGCTGTAATTTGTCTCCCGAGCATATCCCATACATTCTCGACAGGATTTAAATCAGGGGAGTTCACAGGCAACGACATGCACTGGATGGTTTCCGTTTCAATGAAGTCATCAATCAGCACTGCTCGGTGACATGGCGCATTATCATACATGAATATGAAGTCAGGACCATCAGCACCTCGAAACAAGCGAACATAAGGCTTAAGAACATCGTCTCTATATCTTTGAGCAGTCACAGACCCCATGTCAAAGAAATGGAGGTCTGTGCGGCCGTCCATCATGATGCCTGCCCATACCATTACTCCCCTCGATGGAAAATGATGTCTTTCCATTATGTTTCTTGGTTCAAAACGTGTTCCACGTTCTCTCCATATCGTTACCCGCCGAGAATCACTACTCAGACTAAACCGGGACTCGTCACTGAACATCACATTGATCCACACTCCAATGTTGATGTTTCAAACTCCAGTTCAAACAAACGCGTTTATGCGCAGACGTGAGGGGAATGCAAACTGCTGGTCTTCTGGCATGCAGGCCAGCATGATTGAGTCACCTATAAACAGTTTGTCTCGAAATTCGTATTCCTGTGGCGACTGTGAGCGCCGAACCCAGTGATGTGGCAGTACAGCCCCTCTGACGTCGTGCACTTAATACCAGATATCGGTCTTGGCGAGGGATTGTGACTCTTGGTCGACCTGATACTGGTTTTCGGGTAACATTTCCCGTTCTTTGAAACCTCTGCCACAGTCTTGAGATCATAGACTGGTCCACATTCAGAATTCGAGACACTTCGGTTTGGGATCGTGAGGATTCCAGCATTCCAACGATTCTTCCTTTCGTAAACATGTCCAATTGGCGTCTTTGTGCCATCATTCACCTTGTTTGATGGTTAAAAACGTTCCTTCGCATAGCAGTTGCACAAAACTTGTCTGAACTGCCTATGCTGCGTGAATCTGTTTCTTCGCAGGACGTAGTCAACTGAAAAATTTTGCATAAACCCAATTTTTCTTCTTCACCCAATTAATATCCGCAAGAAATTTGGAATAATTTTTCGAATATTTACTCCATGTTTTTCGCATTTTACGATTTATGCTTAACTTTTGGACACCAGTGTATATATAACGTGCTTTCGAGTCAACACCAAGACATTTTGTAAAAAACTGTTTTTGTTCAAAAAACATTTCGGCATCTGATTCTAAGAGAGAAACGGACACGCGTTTTGTATAACAGTCTGATGCCACTCAGGCAGATGTTTTTAAGTATCCTTCTTATTGAACAGAGATATTTGAAAGTTAAGCATGACATACGAGGTAATAAAAATTAATGGTTGGGGATAAAAGTTCTGTATAGGGCCATATGTTCTTCAATAAGAAGTGGGTAATCAATTTAATACTTGAAGATGTAACGGAATATAAAAGGTAAAAGTGGTATAGGGATTTAATTTTAGATCTATTCTAATTATCCTTACATATATATTGCTTATTTTTCTATTTATCATAATATGAGTTTTTATTTGTCATAATACAGTAAAATATGTTTAACGTGAAAATGCTTAAGACGAAATATCAGTTAATACGAAATAATACAATGGTACCGACAATTTACAATATATTTTCATGTATTTTTATCTCTTAATGCGAAACGAAAATCGCAAGATTTCCCTTCTGGGAGTGAACAAAATCTGAAAAACACCAGCCGCGTAGGCGGAATTTAATTGGGGTGTGAAATGAAAGAGAGGGGGTTTCACCTGTTTCGTAGAAAGGAGGCCAACATGACTTCGAAATACTCTCGGAATAGCCTGTGACACGAGCCAATTTTATTTATTTAAGCTACTTTCACCCTCTATCTTTAAAATTGCCCCACAAAAACATCTCATCCCTCATTGGCTTTGAAATTCGAGACGAGTGCATTACTGTGCGAGTAAAAACCAATGAGCTTGGTTCACATTATTTTTTTATTTTAGAAAGACCTTTTTTGCGACCACAATTGCAAAGTGCTCAGGGAGAAAGCAAACTGATATTTAGCTTAGAATGAAGTTGAAGCTTCTTAAGGCTTTTGAGTATTATTATTCTTAAATTATTTAAGAGAAAATAAGGAAGAACGTTATATGAATCCCTACCCATAAATTTTATACAGCTATTTCACCAAAACAATTTTTAACACTAAATTTTAGATTTCTAAAAAGCTCACATCGTGAAAAGTAACTTTACCTTACAGACTTTTGCAATTTTCATTCAGAATTGAATTGAATTTTAATTCCATAATTAAAAGGAAATACAAAAAAAATCCACAAGATTGCCCTAAAATACAGATCTAACCAAACCATTTTAATATTAAAGA